CCCAGTATGAATCGAATCTAGTGTCTGACCTGCTTGCCAATCACTCAACTAAGGAACTCTACTACTCTCAATGTGGTCTCAAGGTGTGCTAAGGATCCTTCAGGGAACGGTTGCTGTGTCATGGAACAAAGTGATTGGATAGTGGGCATTGTTGCCAGACAAATGCAAGATGAGGAGAGGTGCTGTTCCTGAGCTTATGTGTTCAAAGCTAGTGCTCTACCATTTGAACCACAGCTCCATTTCTGGCGTGTTTTGATGCTTAATTGGATAAGAGGCTTACAAAATTTCCTGCCCCAGCTAGCTTTGAACCAAAAAATTTTCATATCTCACAGTCTCCTAAATTGCTAGGGTTATAGGCATGAGCCACAGTTGCCAGGCAATACTATTTAAATAGTAATCCCAGCACTTGGGAGGAGGAATTTGAGGCCTGTCTGGACTACTTAGCTACTTGTCTCCAAAGAAACAAAACCCCAATAGAAGTGGAGGATAAATTTGCAAATCAACATCACCTGCTGGGGTGGGGATTGAGAGGCTATGGTAAAAGAAATGAGGGGGAGAAGTAAACTAATAAGGAGAGAAAGTAATTATGTACTTTTCAGAAATAAGATTTTTCCAGGGATTCAGGTGCCCCCCTCCCCATCTTTTTGCCTTCTTTGTGGTTTCTCCTAGCCATGATCATGCAAATTGTCCACTGTGAAGGGTTGAGTTATTTAGTATGCAGATAGGATTATAATGAACCCGTCCTTCTAAAGAGGAACTCCTGGCCTACAGCCATTTTGTCCTCCAAAGTAAGATTAAGGTGAGGTAGAAATCTTGCTAGGCCAAAAGGCCATAGGAATTAGGGTGGGGTTACAAAAAATCCATGAGACTCTTATCTCCAATTAACCACCAGAAAACTGGGAAGTGGTGCTGTGGCTCAAGTAATAGAGTACTAGCCTTGAACTGTAGAGCTGAGAGACAGCGCCCAAGCCCAGAGTTCAGGCCTTACAACAAGACCCAAATAAATAAATAAAGCTGGAAGTATAACTCATTGCTTGTCTAACATGAGTGAGCATCTAGGTTTTGTCCCTAGCATCACAGAAATTAAACTACAGGGCTTATTGTGATGAGTTTAGATGTAGTGGTGAAAGTCTGTAATTCTATTTACTCTGCAGAGACAAGGGGATCTTCAGTTCCAAGCCAACCCAGGCAAAGCTGGTTTTCACCTGTCCCCAAAACAAAACTCAAAAGAATCAGGGACATGGCTCAAGTGGTAGCATGTTTTCCTACCTGTATTTGGTAAACCCCAGTACCACACACATGTCAATCTCTGGATGGAGTCATTGTTCTTCACTCTGGAATCCTAAATTACTACAACTTTATTCACAGATCAAAGCCTTATTCAAATTACCTTTCTTTATTTTGGGTTACTTGGTCTGAAACTTCATCCCTCTGTGGTATCTAGAGGCAAATTTGAAATTGTAAATACAAATCAAGAAAAGCTTCCAGTGAGACATGAATGATAAAACCTTTGATGTACTTCAATAGGAGAAAAAAAAATGGAATAAAACTTGGAATAAAGAATGTTAAGAATGGGTTTTCTTTGGCTTATTCAATTAGACTCCTTAGTTATTTCTTTTTTTGGAGGGGGGGTCCAGTCGTGG